TTTAATGGTTACCCGAAGTTATCCAATAATACATTTCTTGAGAAGGGTTTAGCGATATCGTATATTAGGCCCGATTTTGGTGAAGTGTTTGTTGTGATATTTAGTAAATTGTCCGCCTTTGAATTATATATAGAATAATATCCTGTTCGTTCACCCAAATTCCATTTAGCTACGAAACGGTTACAGCTTTTGTTCGAAGTTTAAAACCGATTGCTCTTGTATTAGTAGGTTTAATTTATTCGGAGATTCGAAATGAAGCACATTGAGAAAATAAAGTTACAATTTTCAAATAAAACCTTTTAAAAACTAACAAAGGATTTATTTATTAAACAAAAAATAAAACAAAAAAAAAATAGAAAAACTAAACAGTTCTTTACGTTTAAGAATACACAATCGATATTGTTTCTTTTTAATGTTTTTAAAAATATGCGATAATTTTTTGTGACCAATTCCGTCTTAGTCACTCCTGAGGACTAAGACGGAATGCCTCGTTTTCCAGTAAAAATTTGTATTCCGTGAGATAGTGATTCTACCCCAGTAGAGCTGACCCATTCGTGCTACAATCATAATGTTACTGTAGCGTGGCTCTACCACTTATATTCGATCATTGGAACAATGGGATTGCAAATTGAAACGCTACGCTTTACCACTTTCTAACAAACAAAAAAATGTCATGCGACAATTGGCACGGCTTGTAATACAAAGTATTTTTGAATTGCACCAATGGGCACTGGGGCGACATAGGTCGCTTTAACTAGGAGCCACCAATAGTGGTGCTTGTGATCTACCGTGAGATGACTGTTTTTCTTTAACTATCTTTTAATGAAATTTTGATCATGGTTTTTTCACATTCTTTTATTTGTTTTATTAACTGTTTACGTGTAATAATATCTTCTATCTGCTATAGCTAGGCTGTAAATGGGCAGCAGCGTACCTGATATAAAATTAAAAAAATGATGTTTGCACCGCTTGCCAAGTAAGATGACTATGCCAAATATCCTCCTAAAGATACAGTCCAAGGGGAGGCCTCTCAACAGTATCTTTTTAAATGGCGTCATTTCTTATATGTTACAACCATTGCGGCTTGTAGTTACTGTCCGGGAGAAATAATTTATCTAATTTCGTGTTTTCTTAAATGTGTGGATATAATATACAATAAAATCTAATAAACATGTTTTTCTCACCTACATTTATATATTGTTATAATATTATTGCTCAAAGCAAAGTATAATAGTAATTCAAGTATGTATAATAAAACAAAATGGCGGAAAATGGCGGTAATTGAATCGCCGTAATGGATGACAGTTACTGACAATAAATATTTGACACATAGCCGAGATGGACGTTTTGACTGTTGAGTGGGTAGTGAACCTTAATAGGTTGATGAATATTAGGATGAAATAGAAAAATGGATTATCTAATTAAAATTTATAATTATTTACAATTTCTTTCGTTGAATGTTTCTAATAACTGCAATTCCAATTTATTTTTAAAAGTTCTTTGTTTTCTTACCCGTCTTCACAAAAATATAATTACAAAATCTTTTGTAAAATATACATTTATGTCCTTTGTCCGCAATGGTCCATGAGATTGGGTTCTACAAATTGTTTTCAAATATATGTTCTAAGATTACGGGGTTTTATGCCCAAACACATGCTGCTCAATTTGAGAAAGTGACGGTAACATCACGAGACTTCGCAACATATTAAAATTGAGTAGCCTTTGAATATTTAGCCATTAAACTGTGACCTATTGTACTGTTCAATGCATAATAACAATTAAACGTTTTCATGTCATGTCAACGACATCCGCGACCAATTTCATACAAAGGAGGCTACAAATGCGTTGTCACCTTTGAGGACGAAGATGAAGTTCCGCACAGACTGTATTGTACTGGCTCTGTGTGCCGTTCAGAGGAGCTGTCCGCACGATGGTTGGCGGCATAAATAACTAAGATCACCCCTATACATAGCTGTTTTAAACGAAGATCCCGCGTGGTGGTGGTGTAAGAGAATTGATTATCCCATTTCCTTTTGTTGGTAAAAGGCCATGAGAAATTCAATAATGTTTTTTCGCTTTTTTTATTATTATTTTTTATTATATTAATATTTCGCTTACTCCACACGTAAAGTCCTTAGGATAAAGACAGCTGTAGGGCAACCCGTGCTACAATGGCCCTTCCATGTGGCCTTTTTTGGCCTGATAAAGAAGAATAATTCTGAAAAAAAAAAACATGTAGAAGCGGTATAAGAATATTAACTACCCCATACTGTTCCGTGGGGAGAGGGGGAAAATAGAAGACTGGCAGCAGTGTCCTAGTAAAAATTATAAATGATGAAAAATTTAAAAATATTGTGCAAGCGCTAGCCTACTCGTCTGATAAGCATGGCAAATATTGCAAAATCTTTTGGCAATCTATGGGGAGTCAATGTTCAGCAGTGGACGTTCATGCTTTAAATGGATGGATGGCAACTTCTGAATACTGTCGTAAGCTGTCTGCTAAAGAAAAGGTTTGGAATAATATTTCTTTGGAATATTTTTAAAAGTTGATTTTTAAGTTTAAATCACGCGGGAGCATTGTTACAAATAGTGAGTGGAATTTTGCAAACACTATATTTTTAAATCATTCAAGCAAAGCTTACAGTTTTTCTTGAAATGCTTAACAGAAGCAGCAGATTTAGAGTACGAAACAGATAAACAAGCCGTAACATAAGGCGTCTCTCTAACCCATACATTTTCAGTGTCTACCATTGTAGATGTTATTTGTACATTTATTTTACTTTATTATATAAACATTCTATTTCAAATATATAAAAATGAAACTTTGTTGTGCATCAAGTAGGTTAGGTTAGGTTAGCCTAGTTAACCTTCTTGTTAATCTTAAATAAAATACAGATGGACTGGTGCAGCGTGACACTTTAATTGCTGAGGGACGTATTAGGCTGTAGCTACTTTTTCCTCACAATGTATATAATAAGTAATCTGGAATAACAGAAAAATAAATTCACTGAATATGAAATAGACGTTAAGTTAAATCACAGGCGGATGTTTATAAAAATGGTGCTGGCTGATGCATTTTGCCTTACTTAAAAAGATAGTTCACATCTTTTTAGTTTATATTGTTAGGTACACTAGGATTTTCTTCTGTATCGTGGAGGCAATTTACATACGAACATCAATTGCTCAAAAACAACCCTCTAGACTGGAATTTTATTTGGAAGCAGCTTACACACATAAATTGCACAAGGACAAACAAACATCCAGAACCAATTAATTGTAAGCAGTACAAACATTTGTTTCGTGCGGGGTTCAAACCCGGGAGCCTCAAGGACGTGGTTTTTAATTGATTTCACTTCTTACTTGAAAGGTACAGTTGCACATCTCCTGTTTTTTTTTTCGTCTGTCGCTTTGGACGACACACATGAGATTATATGGGATAATGATTAACTTTAATACGTCACCACTACAAAGCACTAGTCCTATATATACTTGGTAGAGTCGCGCTGCATCTATATTATACTTGAAGCATGAATGATGGGTCGGCATGACCACAGAAAAATCGCGGAATACCAGCATAAAATAGCAGCACAATGCTATTGCCTTTTTACTGAATACGAGGCATTCCATCTTAGTCCTCAGGGGTGATAACGCATCTGTATTCTGAATCTTATTCAAGGTTCGATTTAGATGTCCGTGGGCCACAGCGTCCGCTTACCATCAGGTGGGCTATTTGCCCACTTGTCACCCTTATTCTAAAAAATATTGAATAACAATTGTAAGAATCGAAAACTATTATGTATTTTCGCCAGCTGGTGCATTTTTGAAAGGAAAAATGTCTATCAGTGATCTTAAAAATTCAGCTAATGTGATAAAAGTGAACAGAAACTGTAGACTAAAAATAATTGCCATCAAAAGTGAATAAAAAAATGCTTCGAGACACTTAATATTACGCGAGAGAAGTTAGCCATCTTAGCACGCGCTTATTTCTTACAGTTCATTAAACTTCACGTGCCATGTTACAAAATATTCTTACAAGTGTCATGTTTCAGTTCCGGAGACGAACTTTCGCCTGATCCAGAACAAGACTGACGATGATACTGTGAACGTCATATGTGCTGCAGACGGAGCGTTTCCTGCACCAAACCTCACGCTAGCCACACCTGAGAGGTACGTTACTAACGTTTTATTCTTTTGTAGTGTAGTTTGAACATCACAACACCATCTTGGCTTGGCTTGGTAGTTCGAAAAGTATTTTTATCAAAATAGAAACAAAATTACAATAACAATTATGATTGTAATGTAAAAGTATGCAACTAATTAGTTTTAACGTGTCTAGGTCGTATAAAATCGAAGACGTGTGCTCTAAACAGCAATTGGTTACAAACTTGGCTATAACAAGGCAACTGCACCTTATCGCTAACCAATCGGCCTACATCGCTAGACTCATGCTTGCTTGAAATTACTTACTTTATTGCGTTGATTACGTAAGTAGCAACTACACAGATGCAAATGCGGTTTCAAGTCCAAAACGCAAGCGGAAAAAAATACGGAATAACATTTTTTTCAAATAACACAACTTCGCTAGCAGCCACATATGCTGTACATAGTCTATTTTACTTTAAGGAATATTTGGCACAAATGCCGCACTTGTCATACGAATAGGAGATCGCGCTGCTAGACTGTACAATCAGACCTCTACTCGATCTTGTACCTCAACTGATATAATGAATTCGGAAACAAAACTGTTAATAAATAAAAAATAATAAAAAATCTTTATTGGTCAACAAAGATCCAAAGTAGATACAATAGAAGCTCAATATCTATGTTGGTACTTAATACTCGCAACTAAGAAGGTGCGAGTTATTATAGCTCACATATATGAGCTAAAAGTGGACAGTCCCCATTTTCAGCAATGCTTTTCAGAATGAAATTAAAAAGCCTTCACATTTTCAATAACAAAATATTTAAAAAAAAAGAATACTGCTATGCTATTACTTGTTTCATGTTTTGGTTGCCTGTTATTAGTGTTGAAATTTGTTAATAATACCGCAAAAAAGGTATTCTCAGGCATTCTTTGGGGATTCCTACGTTCAGCAGTGGTCTTCATTAATTTAGCCTTGAGGCTGTGATGATAAATTAATAATAAAATATTAGTACCTATCATCATCATCATCAACAACATCGGCCTGTAAAAGTTTTCTGCTGGTCATGGGCCTCTCCCGTTGATTATTTGTAGATTTAGCTTAATTGCCACCCTCAGGGTCACACGTCTCGCATCTATGTTACTAAGCTAATCATAAGTAAAAGTATCTACGTAATCTAAACAAAAGTAAAGTAATTTATTGCATTAAGATTAATAATCAGTAAAAGCGCCCATTACATCCATACCGCATCTGCATCGGTTGGGCATACTGAGAATAAGATAATTAATATCCTATGGAGGAATATTGTCCCAGGTCCTGCTGAGATGCATAAAGAGTCGTTCTTCTGTAACCATAACCTCAAGAAAAGCTCTCAGAGGTCTTCTTTGAAGCATATTCCAAGCATTTTCTATGGAATTTAAATCTAGAGATTACGCTGGCCATTCTAGGGACATCACATCATGTTTATACAACCAGATTGAACCGACATTGTCGTGCATAAGGAGGGAATTTCGACCCAAGCGTGTCCAATATGGCAAGACTATTAGTTCTAGCACCTAATTACAGTATTTTTTAGCCACGATAGTGTTCTGTATCCAAACGAAGTCTGTTCTTTCACCAAAACGAATTCTTACCACTATATAATTGTACCACATTGGTATGGATGAACTTGTTTAGAGTGTTGAGGCCAGACAGTACGACCAGAAACTTTCCTCAGAGTACGTGTGAGTACAATTAGGATGAAAACCAAACCGGGATTCATCGGTGAAAAGCACCAACGACCAATGATGGGATTCCAAGTTCACATGTTCTTCGTTGCAGTTTTCGTCCAATATTTCCTCTACTTAGAGCTGGAACCCTAAGTGGTCTACGACCATGAAGGTTGGTTTCGTGCAGTCTCCTCCTCACAATTTGATCACTCACAAGCCCCTGGTGTTCAGCCTTTGTACAATTGCTTCGCCCTATTATATATATTGTTGCCTTTTCGCAGCAATTTGCAAAAAAATGGCTTATCTGACTGTAGTAATGCGGCTTGGTCCTGGGTCTCTCCACCACCACCGCCGTGGCATGATAGTGTGATCACAATCTCGAAATCACATTTTGCCTGGTGCCTAGTGCCAGTTGAAAAGTACCAGCCTGCAGAATTCCTACAGCTCTTCTCGAGAACGTCGACGTTGCATTGCAATATAATGTCAAATTGTCACAATCTACCCAAGTTGATTTCGATTTTTATTGCATTGTAAAGAAGCATTTTAAGATCAAACATTTATTCATTAATTTAATATCATATGTATATACCATAAATAATCTGGCGCTATGCCAGAATTACCTGAATGCCTGTTAAGCATGACTATCGGGGAAGGTAGGAAAATAGATTCAGTTTCATGTCATCGCACTGCTCTAGTCTAGCTTTAGCCCAGAGGAATATGAATGACTAATTTAGTTTATTTCTGTAGTATTAAATTTTGGTAGATATTATTGCGAAAATCGTGTGTGTGTGTGTTTTTCATCTTATCAAATAATTAAGTTTTCAGTAAAATCGATTCAGTTTGTTAGTTTTTTTTTTATTTAATTTTTTTTACCAATAGGCGGTTGTGGTTGTGGTGAGAGTAAAAATATTTATCGCACTGTCACACTCTACATAATGCTACATATTATATTCATATTAAAACATCTATATGTTTTATTGAAAGGAGTCTGGATGGAGTTTCTCACGAATTGAAACTGGTGAACGGCAGATACTCGGCGGTAGCTTCGGTTACGTTGCTCGACGCTGACCTTCCTTCACCTGCGGAGTTTATTTGCACTCTCCGAATACCTTTAGCAAAATACGCAGTAAGAAAAGAAGCAATTTACTATCCGGGTAAGAATTTCCTTTTAATATTTTTCCTACAATCTTACTATAGAAAAGTATAGAATAGATAAGCAAATAGTTAGGAGATTTGATGTGAGGTTAATCGCAAGCAGAATTTTGCTCTTGACTAATATACATTTATATATAGGCTTGAAGTAGATTATTATTCGTAAAAGTGTTGTTATTTTATATATAAAATATCTAGAATGGTATCTTTATGAGGAAACTGTGAATTCTTCGGAAAGTCCACGCCGCAAGGCATCACTCCATATCCGTACCGTTAGCGTTGTAAGAAGAGACTGTGGGAAATGCCGGAATTTTTTTTAAAATATAGGATAAGGGTGACAAACAAGCACAAAGTCCACCTGATGGTAAGTGGTTGCTGCGGCCCATAGACATCTACATCAATCCTCGATCACGAATCAAAATGCAAATGCTTTTTCACCCGTGACGACTAAGAAGAAATACCTCTTATCCAGTAAAAAAGGGTCTCCGGTTCTCTACACTCACCATACGAAACACAGCACCGTTAAGCTACTATTTTACGCTGGTATTCCATGAGAGCGTGGTTCTTCCCCGGTCGAGCCGATAACTATACTACTAACATAGCTGCAGCACGGCTCTACCACGTACACAATTTATTAGGGATTAAGGCAAATCCTTCTTACAACGGGAGATGTCTATGTCTAGCAGTAAACTTACGGGCAAATAAAAAAAGAAAGTTGTTGAAACAAGAGTAGCACCAACGCCTTGATATAGGTCATCATGTGTCTACTTTCGATAAAATTTCCCAAAAAACTCCGCAGTGTTCAACACCAACATATTGTAAAAAAGTTTTTAGCGGTCAGCCACCGCAGTCTACTCCGCCTGAGGATGCCTGGTGTAGAAACGAAACACGCGTCTTATTCTGTCGTGCCGTTAATGTCGTTCCTAGTATGGTTGTGTTGGGACTTGTTGGGCTGGTAATGGTGGTGCTGGGTATGATGGTTTCAGTCCAGTCAGGCCAATCAACCGTAATTTAAAATTGATAAGCGAAAAAATATTAAATAAAAATATATTCGAAAATATTTTGTGTCGAATACAAAAAAAATTAATACACAATATAATAAATAAAGAAAAGTTACAATAAAACGGGCTACACACGAGACGATATCGGTGGCGATCTAGGGTGGAAAGAAATCGGGGCTTTTATCGGGGCAGACCCTACACACGGGCCTGCCTAGCAGTACGCGGTCGGACTTGGAGCGGAACACATTTGCGGTAGAGTTCTTCAAAATAGCTTCAACTCTCTTAAAACACCAATGTATTGGTTTGGCATTAGCCCTCTCGGTAAATTTATTCGAAAATAGAAAAAGAGGAGTTGCTGGGTGAAAAATGGCTCCAAAAGAGACAAAAATTAAGCCACATAAACGTACTAAATTGTTACGTACGTAATTGTATTCCAAAGACATGATTAATTTTCTCCGGATGGATGAAGACAGTTTTTATAACCTTCTAGAAATGATTTCGCCACTTATATAAAAACATCAATTTCTCCTATGTACCTATGCTATTTAGTTATTTCTTCTCTTTGTTCATTTCTGCTTTGGTCAAAATCTGGTTATGTATTACACACAACAAACAAGGAAATAAAATACTTTTGTATAATAATATGTATACTTTTTTTTTTAATGTAATCTTTATTTATGGAGTAAAACTATCAGAAAATAAAATAGCTTATATCTTTTTTTTAAACATAAAGAAACCTTTAATTTCGGACATACTCCCTTTTATATAACTTGTTTGTTGATGTGGAGATGGTGAAGGAGTAGAAGTTTGTTTATAAGAGGATGAAGGCACGTAAGAGATCGAATTGTGGTCTTGTGGAGTTGTAAGAGATATGAGTGCGGTCTTGTTTTGATAGTGTTGGAATAGGAGTTAGTTGTTGAGGAGAGGCTTTAACTTCTTACTTACATCATACACTCTACTTTACGAACGGCAATAAAAAAATTAGTTTAGTAGGCATTCTTGACCATGTCACTTCGCAGGGTCACAGGCTAGGGTGGATATGATTTGAATTTCGATAAAATTTCATTTAATTTATTTATTTTATTCACTTTTTTTTGGTTTTTTGTAAAATATCAGTGCCATAGGCTTCTGCTCCGTTTATATGATTAAAATGTAAAAATTTTGTTACATAAAAAAGGTCATTCAGTATCACTGTTTTGTTAACTTCCTTCCGCGAGGGTTGCCGGCAGCGACTGCCAAAAGAAATCGGGCCGATGCGCCTACACACACGCAGTAAGGAGGGGGCGGTGCCCCGATCTAGGAAGCATCGGCTGATCTAGGAAGCATTTTTGCTCCTGCCAGCCGATTAAGGAGGCGATATCGGCTACGACTTAGGATGGCTCTACATACGACACGATTTAGAGGCAATCTAGGAGGCATCCCCACTACTCCACCCTAGATCGCCACCGATATCGTGTCGTATGTAGCCCGCTTAAGTAAAGAAGAAGCATCTTGTTTCTGGAAATCAAAACGTTTATTCGTGTCTAATTATCCCTGTAAAAAAATTAAGGAAGGTCTGCTCAATGATCATATAAAATCTTTTAAATCTTTATTTTTGAAATCGTTAGCTCAGCAACTGACACACTTTACCACATATTTAATTCTGATGTTATTTTAAAACTAACTTTAACTTATTTTTTTTTTGATGTCAATGAGGTTTTAAACCTTAAAAAATACATTTGTAGACCATAGTAGCACTTGAAAAGCCCTCAAGGTATAGAGAGGAATAAATTAATATTCTGTAGTGAATGTATTTATTTATTTTTTGAAAATGTTCGCTTTTATAGCTACATTTATTTGTCTATTTCCGTATTATATATTCACTGTAATAATTAGCAAATTAAATTTTTTTTTTGGTATATCAGGAAATATTTTGAATATGTCAATTGTTTAAAATTACCGCCGTGTAAAATATACTCAAAACTTATATAAGAAACTCAATAATATTCAAATTGATATTAATTTATCAAATTTATAAATGATACGTACTACTAACACAAATATTTGGTTTTAACTGTTAGTCTAATATTACTACACTGATGACATATAAATTATCATTTAAATTAAACTCTGTTTAATACGTAAATAAATATAATTATTTGTTTCTTTAAAACATGTAATACGCCCAATTAAAAACGAAAACAAACAATTTTGGAGACCTTGATAACTGGTTGCGCGGAAAACCATTCGCATTTTTTTTTTGTATGACGGTAGGACTTGCCGAATCGTTATTCCTTTCCAAAACGATATCATTCGTACCCTCCTATCGGCACATTGGGGTGGTGGGGTGGGAGGGGAAAGAAGATGATTCTAGAACATCGCGTAATCATCGGAGCCGAGGATATATAAGGCACGCGCGACCGATGCGCGGCCTCTCTCTCTTCCCGCCGCAGCCGTCGTTGAACTACAACGCTTCTCTCCCGACGCACCCCTGGGGCCCCAGAGTGTCTGTCCAGAAGAAGTTCCGGAAGTCGCCGCTATAGTGCTCTAAAGGATAGAAGAACCCCGGTGAGTCAATATCCATTATTATACCTGCTTGATAATAGTTTTAACCCGCTCCAACTTTGTGTTTTCCTAATCAAGCAGGATTCCTTTCATCGATTTGGCAAGTAATAGTTTTAGTTTAGGGAAGAGCGAGTGCATTGTACCGCATGCTATAGTAGTCGCTTTTACATAAGCGTAGAAGCAATCGCATATACAGTCCACTTTAGTTAATATCTCGCGTAATAGGTTTAAGGTTCGACCGGGGAACTAGATTTTCGGCAGCCTTAAACACGTGGCTCCACCAATAACATTATTTTATATTCTTTTAATTTGCCATGGAATTTGTTAGAGGGCTGGCTGGATAAAATCCGACGTCATAAACAGAAAGCTATTTATTTATTTAAAACAAACCATTTAACCGCTTTATAAGCCGAAGGTCGTTTAAACAGGGCAGCCGTGAAAAGAATAAGGGTGGGAAATATACATTTTTTGCGGAAGACTCGAAAATAACAATTTCACAGAATAATTTGCGAAGGCCATTTAAGCTTTTTTATCAATGGAAGGTTCATGTACACAGATATCTAAACTTAGGCGAGATGAAACATTTCTGGCAGCATTTGTCGTGAATAATTATATGTGCCGTTAATTTCATTTTATACAGGAAAAATAATCTCTATAAGAAAATTAGTGTGTAAGGGAAAACACAAACACTTTTTCAAAGCGTCCGCATTTAATCTTAATGAAAAGAAAGTCAAGCGTGATTCAAACTGAGAAATAATTCACGCTGATCCTTAATTTCAGACGATTCATAATACTGATAACGTTTTATTAGATGCAAAAAATTAAAATAGTCCTTTGTAAGCATCCGCTTACGATTCACGAGACTGGAAATTTATGAAACGTGTTAACTATAAAAACAACGAAAATCTTCTTCTTATTCTTTTTCTACCTAGCGTTTATCCCGATTGCTCATCCCGCCCAACGTGGGAGAACCCAGGTTCCGCTTTCCTACACTTCCTCCTCCACTTTGCCCGGTCTTCGACGTCCCCCGCAACTAGCCCATTGGCGCGCATGTCGTCCTGCACTACATCAAGCCAGCGTTTCTTGGGCCGTCCTCTACTCCTGGTACCAGGTAGAGTCATATCCAGGCATTTGTTTCCCACGTAGCTTGCCGGTCGTCGTAAGACGTGGCGTCGCTCCAGCACCGGCCATGCCTCACTGCCGTATGTGCGATAGGCCTTATATACCTGTCCCTTCAGCTTGACCGGCATTTTGGGGTCACAAATGACACCCGTCACCTCGCGCCATTTCGCCCAGGCCGCTGATATACGGGCCTTGATGTTGCGATCGATGTTCCCGGACGCATCAAGCACAGATCCGAGGTACCTGAAGTTGTCCGTACGCTCGACGGTGTCGTCACCTATATGGAGAGACGTCAGATCTGTGCTGTTGCAGGCCATATACTCCGTCTTCGCCACGTTTAGCTTCAGCCCGCCGTTCTCAAGCGCCTCCCTCCATGCGTGCACGCGTCTGGTGAACCGTGCTTTGTCCCCATATACCAGTGCGATATCATCATCGTACATAAGCAGCCAAGGCTGCGGTAGTTTCTGTACGCTGGCTGACAGTTCGTCTAATATAGCACTGAAGAGATAGGGCTTAAGACGGAGCCCTGATGCACGCCTACGGTTAAGGGGAAAGGGGTGGTATCACCAACAGCAGTCCTGACTATTGAATCGGAGTTGCGGTACATGTCACGTACGATTTCCACGTAGGTCTCTGGTACCAACTTCGACCGCAACGCCCATCAGTAGGGTATATATAATATAGGGTCCATGGTACCGCGTCCTGGTTGGAAGCCGTACTGGGAGTCCGATATTGTACACTCCTATCGGATCCTGGTGTCAATAATGCGCTCGAAAAGCTTCATGGTGTGTGACGCCACCTTTATACCGCGGTAATTACCACTCACGCAATCCTGAACGGACCCTTTACCCTTGTGGATTCGGTCGCTCAGGATTCTGTTATAAAGGTTAGTAAGAATGCACACACCACGAGCTCCCAGCGCTTTCCACGCTTCAATTGGCACCTCGTCCGGTTCTACAGCTTTCCGATTCTCTATGTGACGAAGAGATGCGAGGACCTCGTCAGGCGTAATCGGTGGCACAAGTCCATGGTTCGGGAGTTGTTCGGGAGGGTGCACTTCCCGGTGCTGAGTATTCAGCAAAACGTGGAAATAAGAGCGCCATCTCTCCTTCACCGCACCATCATTGTACAGGAACTCGCCATTAGGGCCATTGACGCTGCTGCAGCGAGTAATGTCTTGCGCTGCTTTGGCCCTAGAGCGCGCCAGTTTATATATGAGCTTGTGCTCCTCAGGAGTGTCCAACTTAGCATACAATGGTTGCAAGTGGTCACGCCTGGCTCTGGCTACAGCTCTTTTCGCTGTCTTGTAAGATACGTGATCTACAGGAGATTTGGTCGCTTGCCACATCTTGAAGAGCGCTTTCTTCTCCCGTAATGAACCCTGGACTGTGGCATCCCACCACCAGGTCTCCTTGTCGATTTTGCGACCCCCCTTTCGCCACGCCGAGGACTTTCTTTGCCGTCTTTGTGATTGCTGTCTGAATAGTTTTCCAGCACTCTTGGACGGACTTGCCTGCTGTGTCAAGACTAATATCCCCAGCGGCAGAGTCAAACTCTGAGTATCTGGTTTGATCCAGCAGCCACCAATTGATTTGACGGCGGCAACGTTAGGCGTGTCTACGACGGGGTTTTACGCAGAGGTCCATGACAAGAAGTCGGTGTTGGGCAATGAGACATTTACCGGGTATAACCTTACAGTTGGGCAAGCGACTGATATGACTTCTCCTGGTCAGTAGATAGTCGATTTGAGTGGCGTTCCGACCGCTCCTGTAGGTAATCAGGTGCTCGGTTTTCTTTTTGAAGAACGTGTTCACCACGGTCAGGTCAGCTGCAGTGCAGGTTCTGAGAATGGCTTCCCCCTCTGCGTTTCTTCGGCCGTAACCATAGCCGCCGTGGACACGTTCATACTCCCCCTGCACCTCGCCCACATGACCGTTCAGGTCGCCACCCAAAAAGACATCGTGGGACAACGGTATGCCGCATAGTACATCTCCGAGCCGATCCTAAAACAGCGTCCTATCCGCGTCGCTGCAGCCGACCTGTGCGGCGTAGACACTTATTAAGTGGGTCACGACCACCTCAATAAGCAACCTTACTACCATAAGTCAGTCGCATATGCGTCTAACTTCAAAGAAGCTATCGTGGAAATGCTCGGCGAGCACCACTGCCACACCGTTCTCCCCCCCCAGAAGAGCCTGTATAGATCAGCTTGTAGCCGTGCCCAATATTCCGGCTCCTGTTGGCCCTCCACCGTGTCTCCTGCAGAAACGCCACTGCCACTTTACGCCTGGCAAGTATGGCCGCAAGTTCTTTGGAGCGTTCCGTAAGCGTGCCAATGTTCCAGCTTGCAAGCGAATCTTCGTAGTTGGTGCTAACGTCTTTAGCCGGGCTTGCACGGGGCCCGGCAGCCCTCGCATACTTGTCGTAGGGTTAAGGCGATCCCCATGCGCGTCGTTATGCGGCTACGCCCTAGTCCTAAACGTATATATCTTTCTTTTTACTTTCCATTTTTGAGTGGCTTAGTGCCAATTACGGGGGCGGCTGCCGTCTGACCCCCGAAGCCCTGGGACGAATCCCAGAGGAGTGGCATCGCCAGAGCCTTTTCCTTTGTCCAGCAGGTGCACCACGTGCAGGCGGGGTTGGCTTGGGCTCCAAGATCTTAGCGGAGCCCCCTTACACCCTATAAAATATAAAAACAACGAAAGTAATGATAATGAATGCTTTCACTTACTTTATACATCTCATTGCTCATATTTCTGAGAGGATTATGGAGCAATGGTCCACCGTGACACCCGTTGTAGGACTTTACACAATTTCTTTGATATATTGTTTTTCTAAGACACGGAGGTTTATTTATAATGTTATCCTTCGTCTCCAAGCACGTAGCAAGAGCTCTTTAAAAAATTATAATAATAAAAAATAATTTAAAAAATTATTGCAATTAACATTTTTTTGGTGCTGGCGAGGAGCGAATCGTGACATTTTCAGTGAACGCTTAGTCTGTGAGCTACGTCAACTTTGATATGAACCATTATAAGTAACAACCTTTATAAAATAAAAAAAGGAATCCAATACAGGAAAACCAACATTATATTTTACAATATATTTATTTTATAAACATGTGTTTCTTTCATTAGGGCCCATTAGCACAACACCTGAAATGCCGACCGCAGCCGACATACAACTCGCTGCAGCTATTGGCTCTGAAGGTGAGAAATATTATATATGGATAAGCATAACCCTTTATATATGAACGTACGCGTTTGTGTGCGTGCTTGAGCGAGACAAACTTATCGAAAGTAAGAATTTTAGTTTTAGTGTAGTATACTCAAATTTTCAACTTCAATTTATAAATACAAAAAGGACTTTATAAACTTTGCAGGTCCTTAGCTATTCATTTTTTTTTACATTTACATTTCTTTATTTTATCTAGTACTAAAGCAACTATGTATTTTGATGTCAAAGACGGTACTGGTCGTTGTGCCGAGCGTTTAGCAACCTTTTATTATCAGAAAAAAGAAACGCTTGCAATGCCTATTAATAGATTGATTTTTAAATTGTTAATATTTCATACATTATTGATTTTATTTTACTTCACATTATTAGTAAAAAGGGAAATAAAACAGGGGACGCCCCCGTAAATTAGATTCCCGGTAAAGACGAAATATTAGAAACTGCGGCTGATAACCCGCCTGCAAAGTGTATTAACTATGATGGATTTAGGGGAGGACTTTATTCAGCAGTGGATTTTGATAGTATATGATGAATGAAATATTTTACTATTATTCTCATAGTTAAAAAAAACATTTTAGTTGTATTGGAACAACACATGAGTTAACAGTCCATTTTATTTCAATTGGCTTTGCCATCCCATTGACACCTGCAATTACTCAGCACTTAAGCAAAAAAAGACCACACGTGCTTTGTTCTCGAAGGCTAAGAAGGATAGAAAATGTCTTGCAGTCTGAAACCGTGTTTGTTTTTTAACCCAGAACATTCACACCAAAACAGAGCAATGGATTTTGTATAATTTAATAAAATTTTACTTTTTTATTATAAAAATGAAGTGACAAATGGTTTTACAATCCATCTGAAGGTAAATGGCTATTACTGCCAATGGAAAGAAGTCTACAGATACGGTATCTCGCTACTAAGACAGAATGCTCAATAATTTGTATACCGGCCAGCTACACCCTGCACGCTATTATGTAAGTAGTGCTGTTTAACGGTAGAAAAGGAGGAATCGTAGGAAGGAAAGCAATTAAACCACCTAGAATGAACATTGTCAGAAATTAGAAAACCACAGGCCCAGTTATACAAATTTATCTATAAACGTGTTCGCTCTTACTTTTTTATATTTTCATCACTACATTTATTTGTTTATTTTTTTATTATCTAAGTCTATAACCTATAGAGAAGAAGTAGGTATATTAATTATTTTCTGAAGTAGGCATTAATAAAATTGAGATCTTCTAACATAGGTTAAAAAACACAAATATCTACTGCTTCTCTCGATACATCGATTAAGATTCAAAATGCAGATGCGTTGTCACCAAGAGAGGACATATATGGAATGCATCTTTTCCAGTAAAAACAGTGTATTGTTCTCTAAACTGACCCTGAGAAACACAGCAGCATTGTTCTGCTATTTTACACTGGTGTACTGTGGGGGCGTGGTTCTTCCTAGGTCGAACTAATTCGTGCTACAACTATAAAAAAACCACAGATTACCTCCTAATAGATACCGCATCATGGAATATTTGTTCTGTTTCGATTTCACCAAATACCGAGTTGCGGGGGACGTGTCAAATGCGCTGTGATTGGATAATTCAAGGTTGAACTTAGAATGCTCCGAACCATAATGATGGGACAGGGTTGGTACGTTGATCGATAAATTTGGGATTTATTGATTATTGATAAATAAATGATAAATTTTTATTTGAAATTTATTAAAAAATAAAACAGTGTATATAAATAAAAAATATGTATATATATATATATATATATATATATATATATATATATATATATATATATATATATATATATACATATATATATGTACATGTAATCTAATGATTTCTTAAAGTTACGCGTACACTACGCATTGAATAAAACTATATAATTATATGGATTTTACGGCGTTTAATTAACTTATGGTCATGGGGGGAGGGGGAGAAAATGTGATGTTTCACATATCTCAATATTATACTTAGCCCGGCTATCTTCAGTTTTTGAATATTGATTTTTCGTCAAGATCTACATTAAACGAGCTTACAGTATCTTGAAGTCTTGCAGTGGTATGCTTGGTTTTGGA